GTTGTCCGATCGGGCTAAAAATTTACAGGGCTTATTTTTATGACCAATCTCGCCTGAAAAAATATTGCCGCATGTGAAATTCGAAAAAGTCCGAAAAAAACCACCCCATTAAACATAGTATGCTGTTCACGCAAGAGCCAAATCGTACTCTTTCGCTTGGGAATTTAAAATTATAGTTGCTTGCCATTTTGCACTGCTTCGAGTATCGCCTTCGATGGTCCATCTTCGAACGTTAAACTGCAAATATATTTTTTCACAAAACGAATTTCATTTGATTCTGACAAAACCGCTACGTTGAAAATGGTTTTATACATTTTTGATTGGAATTAACTTCATTTCCCACTTACTCTATTGTTTTGATGGCTCTTGCCACTCGAGAGTCTGAAAAAGTTGATTGTTACAGATGGTTTAATGATGAACGCTTGTTTTTTTTTAGATTTTCTTATTCTTTTGGAACTCGTGGATATTTGTCAAAAAAAAGTCATTCAAAATTCAGTTGATAACAAAATTAATTTTTAAACGATTTATTTTTTACCTGGATAACCACTGATCACAATAGTTTGAAGGTACACAATTAATGCAATGAAAGATCTCATTTTCCGCGACTTAAAATTAGACACTCAAAGAGCTTCGTTTAATACATATACGTTTAAATCAACAAAACTAGAAATTGCTAAAAAAAGAAATTTAGAAAACACAAAAACTTCATAAATCGATCAATAAAAGGCAGAAAAATGATTCTTCTGAAATATTTTAAAATATCGAAATTTTGAAGAAAGAAATTTCTGAACAATTTTTTCTCGTTACACAATATACAAACGCGTCCGTTCTCACGGATATGTTATGAACACTTGACAGGTAAATTTGGTGAGCATTTGTCAAACCAATCACAATAAACCAATTATCTGGTTCTCTGGTAAACCGGTTGAATATTTTATGCGTCGTTCACAAAATTCCTCCAACACATGAACTTCAACTTCAAAAATGAATCCAGTTTTATGGTGTTATAAAAATTATATTTGATGGTGACAAAGACTGATGCTTCATACTTATATTCTACAACAGCTGATGCTGTAGCAAATGACATACCATCACACAGATTAGAAAGACTAAGACTAAATTATTTGTGTTTATTTTCAATATGTGCCAATGTGTGACGTGTGTCGTTCAAACTGAATCAAAATCCAGTTGAAATGACTCAAATACAATATGTGTTTAGGTAGTATTGTTTGTTTAAATCTTATTCTGAAACAAGAATGTGTATAAAATTGCGTCAGTATTTAAAAAAAAAAAAACTATCCAACGTGTACAAATAATTCGTGATTAACATGTGAAACGTTGCCTTATCCATCTCTCGAAGAATCAACTTCTCGACTTGCAGAAGAAAAATAATGTCAAAATTAACCGTTGAAACATCGCATCATTGAAAAGTACGCGAATGCAAGTTTAACAATCTGGAAGAAGGTAAATAAGGTACGTTTAATTGTATGAGCTCAATATTTTTCAAGTGAATTTAAAATTCACATTCGAAAAATGACTTTCTGGAGCTTTTCTGAGTATATTCGAAAAAAATACCTTTTGGAAAATTTCACGGGAACATTGCATGTTCATGACACCTTGAATGACGACCGGTTTTTGCGACATCAAAATCATGATCGTCTGCATTTTCTGAATATCCACGGGAAACTCTTCCCAACCGCATTGATAAATGGATTCGTCAATTGCTTCGAAACCCATGGTCACTCCATGCCCAAAATGGCAGAAGAAACCGACGTAAGCTATTTGACCGACAATGAAAATAATTGTACGTACAATATCAACCGTACAGTGCAACTTGATTGCCTACGATGTACAGAAATACAGTTTTGAGCAAAAATTTCCTTTGTTAAATCGAAACAAAATGCTTTTCCGACGAAATTGTTTGTGAAAAAAATGCTAACGAATGAATGAAAGATGAAAAAAACGTCGGTTTACCGTATCAAGGCCCAGAGGAGATGCACATATGAAAATCGATGAAAGCCCGAACAAGATAAATATAATCGAACCGTACAAGTTTGAAAAGAGTTCCGTGGTTCTTGAGATGATTAAAAAAAATGCTGGAAAAATACATTAGTGGTTTCGATGTTCGATTTACGACACAAAAATCGAAGAAAATTATGCATTAATCAATAACTAACTGTTTAGCAATCGAATGGAATTCAATGACCTCAGAAAGCATTCGATTGAGTTCGATGCGATTTTCGGCCGTTGGCAAATTTCGTTTTTTATTAACGATGTAATCGTTCAAATTTGCCAATTGTCGTTGAATATCCATTGTGAATCCAACAAAAACGGTAAAAAATGATCCGAAAGGTAATATAGGTAACCAAATGGTGTCTTCCGATTCCACGGGATTCTTGAAGAAGACGGAAACATTAATAAAAAGGAAATTCAAGGAGTCAACAAGAAGGGGACAAATATTTCATAAAAATGGTTAGTTACGTCGACAATATTAACAATTCAAATGTTTTGTCGGACCGTTGAAATGCAAAATATCGATAGATTGATGCCAAAAATCTTGGTAATAAAGAAATGGAAATTTGTAATAAAAAATAAAACCAATTAGCCGTCATTCCCAAATGCTAAATGTAACATAGATAAGAAAATATATCAATATCATATAGAGGCAAAATGGTTATGGAGAAAACATCTTGAAATTAATATAGCCTCTCAGTGGACGATAGAGGCGTCATCGATTCTATGTAATTATTGTTTAGTCGTTCACTCTTTGCATTTCTAAGAGCTTAAGCAATTTTATTTGACAAACTTGCCTAAGTTTGTGATTCTCGAAATCAAATTAGTTAGATTTATGGAATTTTCCGATTATTTTTGTTTAGATGGGCGTAAAACTAATGAATTGGAAAGATGAGATGGATAGTCTAAGGGGATTTATCTCTCGCGAATGCTGCGAATGCATTCGCATTTCAGAACAAAAATTCGAATGTTTGCGAATGCGACGAATGCGGCTATGACAGCGAACTTGTGACTACATCAGCGCCGTAGCCAGGCCGGCGCAATGGGTGCATTGCACCCTCCAAAAATTTCAAAGGTGCAACAAAATCGGGTGCAAAGTCGGGTGCAAAATCGGATTTCAAAGGTGCAACAAAAGAAATATTTCGATTTTGCACCCTCCAATTTTTTTTTCTGGCTACGGCGCTGGACTACATAATTCATTCGTTCATTCGTGTTTGTGCATGCATTCGCAACGCTGCCATATGATTTCTATGTAAACATTCGCACTCGCATTTGTGGGAACGTTCGAGAACAGCAAAATACGACTGCTATACGAATGCGAGTGCGAATGTTTACATAGAAATCATATGGCAGCGTTGCGAATGCATGGCACTGAGCGCGAATTTGTGAATAAAAATTCGAATGCCAAACCGACATAGAAGCCCCTAGTGGATAGTATGCTTGCAGCATTCAATCGACAGGCATCGCATTCTTTGGGTATCATAAAAATGACATTCAAGCGATGCGGACGATCGCTTCCACGGGATTTCAAGCAACATTTTTTGGAAGCTTCCAGCAATCGGTAGGTTTTGCGCAATCAACATGAATGACGATTTAATACTGAAATTAGTCATTGATTCGCTTTTGTACTTGTTTTTCACCAGCATAAGGTTGACATACGAACAATTCGAAATCGATTCATTGTTCGATGAACCACTGGAGGTCAACTTGAATTCAGTGGAAAATGTGGCAGAGGGATCGTCAAATGTTGGAAGAAGTGGATTTAAGTCTGAAGCAAGCGGC